TTTAAGAAAAATCCCCTTTCTAATCACATTTTACAACTTATTTAATACAGATAAAATAATATTTACGTTTGACAAGTTATATAATTCTAATAATACCGTGTTTCTCATATAATAAGGCCGGGTCTTATTTTTTTTTGAGCCCCCAAAAAATGGCTAGGCCGTCTTTTCGGGGGTGACTTAATTCCCCCCCCCTGCATCTTCGGGCAGGTGGGCGGCGATGGCTTGGATGTTGACCTCGGCGTTGGTGGGGCACTTCGTATTGGGGTCAACGCAGGCAGCACCATATCCGGGTGTGCAACAAAAGTACTTCCTAATGGCAAGCCCCCCCACCATTCCCCCCATTTCGCATGTTTTAATATAGGCCTTAATTTGGGGGGAGGGGCTTAATTTCATTTCATGCCTATAAAACATGCTGGGACTTGCTATTGGGGGAGGCCATATTGTTGGAGAAACAGGGTAGTTATTTTTATCAAGTGTAATTTTTTCATTATTCTCTTATTCAATGTTTCAGTGTTATTTTTGTATCAAATTTTACATATTCCTTTTTCTGCAAATAGACGTTAATATTCATATTTATTACGTTCAACAAACCTATATAGTTATATTTATGTTGAATTGTATTCAGTTGATTATTCAATGTATCATATTCAAAGTTACCCTAACTGAAATTCTATCGTCCCTTGTTATTAATTCACCTTATAATGTAAAAGTATCTATTCCATTAATCCCCCTTTCTCTAACTTCTAGCCCTTTTTTATTATCCATCATCTCTCATTCACCTTAAAACTTTAATTATTTGTTTCTTGGCTTGTCTCTCATATTCCTCTCTTGCATCTTTAGATCTGTTATCACTTCTTGGCCCATCCTCTTAAAACATTTCTCCCTTCTCTACACATTTCCATTGACTCATTTTCAAGTTGTGTAGTCTTACCACTGTCTCTTTTTTAAAAAAAAAACTCCCTGCAATTCCAATTCCTAACTTCCCTCAAAATACTCTCCCCTTGATTTATATCATCAATCATTGTCATTTCTCTTTTTTCCTCATCATTTCTCTGTTTGTTGCTTTGTCTTTTCTGTTTCTTCAGCTGCTTTTTCAGTTAACTTCTCCTCTTCCTGGACATCCTGTTTTCTCTTTGTCATTTGTGTCTTTGTTTCCAGCTCATCTATGCTCTGTATTTTATTCAAAATCTCCTCACACCTTCTTATCAAAATATCCTTCATATCCTTAATTTCTGATGCAATCTCTTCCCAAAGTCCATCTTTTTATTTTATTTATTTTTCTCCAAAAAACCAATCTTTTATTCAAACTAAAGCCATTTCTCAAACATTCAATGTTCAATGTCCAAGAGTCTTTATATCCCCCAGTTAATCAGTCTGTTTTTCTAAATAATCCAAAAGTGGGACCTTTATAGAACTTCCTGCCAATTCAATCTTTATTGAAACTTTCAGGGATCTTTTTAATAATAAAGTTTTTCTTATTCTTTCCTTTAAATGTCCAAAAGCCAAGCCTTGCCTGTATTTTGGGAATATATTGTGCCTTCCTTTGACAGCAGGTGGAGCTCTTACATCAGTTTTCACTTTATCTTGTCTTCCAAATTCTCCAAAATATTAATATAAAATTAGCTGTTTATGTAAATAGTTCCAGCATTTTACAGTGCCTATCCAAAGCCAACATCTGTCCAATTTAAAAGTCCAATTTTCTGTGTTTTTACCAGATTTTCTATGTTCTTCCTTTCTCTTCCATTTTAAAAGCTTAAATTTTTAAATGTTAAAATACGTTAGGTTGCTGCCACTTTAACAATAGTTCCGAGTCTCTTTCTGAATCTTTTTCTTTTTCTTTTTTTTTTGGGGGGGGGGGGGGGGTTACACTTTAAATAGAGGATTTTTCTCATCCAGTTCCAAACACTGTTCACCAGCTCCGCTCCAGCACTCTTAGGTGACAAGCAGTCTCCAGCTGTATGGCAGCCATCTTGGCTGCCTCTTCTTCCTGCCATGGCATTGAGGGCTCAGAAAGCCCTGGGGCTCTATGGGGAGCTGCGTCCCCCCCTGGAATTTTGCAGGATGCCCCTCTTTTGCTTCACCACCCTTCCAAAGCAGCTTTGGCTGCTTCTGGACCCATGAACAAGGAGAAGCCAGAGCAGGGATGGAGCTCCGTTTCCTTGTGACGTCACTTATTTTTTGAGTTTCTCTCCTTGATTAGTTTCCATCCATTGGTTCTTCTTTTAGCTTCTGGTGCTTTGGAAAATGGTTTGCCCCTCTCATCTTTGTGGCAACCCCTCAAACACTGGAATCCTGTTATCATAGCTCACCTAGCCCTTGTTTTCATTAAGAGTAGACATACCAAATTCCTGCAATTGTTCATGTTTTAGCCTACAGCCCCCTAATCATCTTTGTTCTTCTCTGTACACATTCGAGTCTCAACATCTTTTTTATATTGTGGTGACCAAAACAGGATGCAGTATTCTAAGAATGGACATCTTAAGGCTTTGTAAATTGATACTAATACTTCATGTGATCTTGATTCTATCCCTCTATTAATGCAACCTAGGATTGCATTGGCTTTTTTGGTTGCTGCCATAAACTATCGGCTCATATTTAAGTGATTGGCTACCTGGACTCCAAGATTGTTCTGAGTTATTGGTATTGAGCCAGGTTTCACCTAGCCCGTAGGTGTACAGTTGCTTTTTCTTGGCAAGTGTACAATCATACTTTTATCTACATTGAATTTCATTTTCTTAGTAGGATCTAATATTCAAGTCTGTCAAGATCCTATTGGATTTTGAACCAATCTTCTGGGGTGTTGGTTATTTCTGCCAGCTTAAACTCATCTACAAATTTGATGAGTTTCCCCTTCAATTCCCTCATCTAGCTCATTTATGAAGATATCAAAGAGTACTGGACCTGAAATGGAACCTTGGAATACATGCCAGAAACATGCCAGTTGCCAAATGCTTTCATTGTCCCAAAGGTGCTTTTATAGGAGGCAACTGGACTTTCTCATTTTTTTATTTGAAGATGTTTTATCCAAGAAGCTTCTTCAGCTCTGACTGGATAGTGGGGAATGGAAGGGTTTATATTCCTTGCAGACAGCTGATCATTTGCCTGGCCATTGGATGTTTATCTGTGTCCTCAGGGTCACCTGAGTAGTGCAAATGGGTGTGGAACTTCTTGGCTGCGTGTTTTCTGCCCGGTGTCCCTTCACTGTTGAAGACAGGCACAGGTTGTTGATGATGAGTCTATGTTGTCTGCATCTCAATGTTGTGATCATGTGATCATGGGGATGCTGCAACAGTCATAACTGTGGAAACTGATCTAAATCACTTTTTTAGTTTTATTTTTTATATCTTTGAAAGGATGTTAAATAAACCATTTTAAGTTAAGGATTAAGTGTATATGGCATTTCCCCAATATGGATTCTGTCCTGACTGAGAAACTGTCCTGACTGAGCAAACCGATTTCCACAATCCTGGCATATATATGGTTCATCCATTGTGGATTCTTTGGTAGATAAGGGCTTCCTTCTCAATGAAACGTTTTCCACACTTTCTGCAGCAAGGTTGTTTATCCCCTGTGCTTTTGAAGTGGAAGCTCTTTCCACACACTGTACATTTATTTATATGCTCTCTCTTGTGTGGATTATTTCACGATGATTAAGATTTCCTTTATGAGTAAACTACTTTCCACAATTCATGTATTTTTATACAGTTTCTCCCGTGTGTGGATATTTTTAATGAAAATTAAAATCTTCAAAAAAGGCAAAAAGTTAGATCCAGGAAACTACAGACCTATCAGCCTGACCTCAATACCAGGGAAGATTCTGGAAAAGATAATCAAGCAACAAATCAGCGAACTAGACTAATCTTATTGCCTTCTTTGACAAAGTGACAAAATTAGTTGACCAGAGGAATGCTGTCAATATAATTTACTGGGACCTCAGTAAGACATTTGATAAAATAGACCAAAACCTACTAGATAAAGTAAAAAAAATGTGGGTTAGACAGAATAACCACCAGATTCGTAACTGGCTGACCAACTGCACTCAACATGTAGACATCAATGGAACTGCATAAACATGGAGGGAAGTATGCAGTGGAGTGCCCCAAGGCTGTTTTAGGCCCAGTACTCTTCAACATCATCAATGACTTGGGGGATGGGGAACTCATCAAATTTGCAGATGACACCAAGCTGGCAGTGATAGCCAACACTCCAGAAGATAGGGTTAAGATACAGAAGAATCTTGACAGACTTGAACATTGGGTGCTATCTAACAAAATGAAATTCAATGGTGAAAAAAGGTTCTACATTTAGGCAAGAAAAATCAAATGCACAGGTACAGTATGTGTGGTACCTTGCTCAATAGTAGTAACTGTGAGAGGGATCTCTGAATCCTAGTGGACAACCATTTAAATATGAGTCAGCAATGTGCAGCAGCTGCCAAAAAAAGCCAACACAGTTCTAGGCTGCATAAACAGAGGAATAGAATCAAGATCACATGAAGTGTTAATACCACTTTATAACGCCTTGGTAAGGGCACACTTGGAATACGGCATCCAGTTTTAGTCGCCATGATGTAAAAAAGATGTTGAAACTCTAGAAAGAGTGCAAAGAAGAGAAAACAAAGATGATTAGGGGACTGGAGACTAAAACATATAAAGAACAGTTGTTAGAATCAAGTATGCCTAGTTTGATGAAAAGGACTAGGGGTGACATGATAGCAGTGTTCCAAAATCTCAGGGGCTGCCACAAAAAAGGAGTCAATTCTTCAAAGCACCTGAGGGCAGGTCAAGAAGCAATGGGTGGACACTAATCAAAGAGAGAAGAAACTTAGAACTAAGGAGAAATTTCCTGACAGTTAGAACAATTAATCAGTGGAACAATTTGCCTCCAGAAGTTGTGAATGCTCCAAAAGTGGAAGTTTTTTAAAAGATGTTGGAAAAAGATGTTGGATGTTGTCTGAAGTGGTGTAGGGTTTCCTGCCTAAGCAGGGGGTTGGATTAGAAGACCTTCAAGCCCTCTTCCAACTCTGTTATTCTATTCCATTTCTATTCTATATTAAGATGTCCTTTTTGAATAAAGTCCTTTCCACAGTCCAGGAATTTATATGACTTATTCAGTATGGATCTTTTGGTGTCGAAGCAGATGAGAGTTTCTTATGAAGCTCTTTCCACACACTATGCATTTATACCGTCTCTCTCCTGTGTGAATTACTTTATGAGAATTAAGATGTCCTTTCCGAAAAAAGCTCTTTCCACACTCCATGCATTTATAGGGTCTCTCCCCTGTGTGGATCATTTGATGGATAGTAAGTTCTCTCATTTCAAAGAATCTCTTTCCACACTCTCTGCAGCTATATTTTTCCCCCTCTCTGTGAATCCTCTCATGGCAACTAAGAGAACGTTTGAAAGAGAAGCTTTTTCCACACTCTGTGCATTTACAGGGTCTCTCCTCTGTGTGAATTATTTTATGAGAATTAAGGTGTCCTTTCCGAATAAAGCTCTTTCCACACTCAAGGCATTTATACGGTCTCTCCCCTGTGTGGATCCTTTGGTGATGAGTAAGAACTTTGTTGTCAAAAAAGCTCTTTCCACACTCCAGACATTTATATGGTCTCTCCCCTGTATGGAACCTTTGATGAATAGCAAGACCTCCCTTCTCAAAGAATCTCTTTCCACATTCCTGGCAACAATATTTTTTCTCCCCTCTGTGCCTCCTCTCATGGTAATTAAGCCTACTCTTGAAATGGAACCTCTTTCCGCACTCTAAGCATTTATGTGGTTTCTCCCCTGTATGGATTCTTTCATCAGAATTCAGTTTTCCAATTAAATCAAAGCCATTTCCATATTCCTCATAACTGTAAGGTTTCTCAGTTATGTGGATTCTTTGATTGTTATTAAAAGTAGCCTTGCTCCTGAAGTTATTTCTATACTTCATGCATATTTCAGTCTCTCTGCTCAGACTGGAATCCTTTTCTGATATTATAGTGGTATGTAGTTTATGTTTTCTATAAAAGTTAAGACAAAAGGAATGATGAGATGTGGAGGGCCTTTCTCCTCCATCTTCTGAGTGTTTTCTCTCTCTCTTTGGATTCTCTTGATGGTCAGATGTCACCTCTCCTTCATAGTTTGTTGTCTGCAGTAGCATTAACCTCTCCTGTTTCGCATTCACATTCTCCATTCTATTACCTGATCAGAAAGAAGAAAACAGAAATCCTTGTTCAATTTAGAACTGTGAGGGAGGGGAAGATTAGTTCTTGTGGGGTGAGGAGAACCAACACCTTCATTTTTCTGTAGTGTCATTTCACTGAAATTGGCAGGTGGATGACAGGCTTCAACTTGGAAAGTTTTTCTAGAAGAGAGAACTGGAGATTGCCTATACGACAGTAATAGAGCCTGCCTATTTCGGTCATAAGGCAAGATGTTAATTGGAACTCATTAAGTGAAAGCGCCCTCATCCCAGATTAGGATGATATGTTAAACAAATGTACGGGTGAATGCAGGGGGTGCCTCAGGGAAGCCTGCATGCCTTGGGCCTCTGAGGGCCTCCCCCATCCCCTGAAATACCACCTGCTCTGCTTCTTTTCCTTAGGGTCCCGTCAGCCAGTTCTAGCCCTCACAATCACTTGCTTACCTTCTGGAGATTTGCAGAAGTCAGGATGTGGGTGAAGGAAAATATTGGTGACATTCTTACTGGGCCACGGTGAAGCCGTTGGTTTGCAAACTTGTGGTGAAATTTTTTTAAAAAGAAACAGGAGCGAGGTGTGGAAAACAATGAAGGGTTAAGTGGGAAGGAGGGGGAAGAGCTGCTTTGTCTTGTTTGAAACCTGTCCTGGAAGGCAAAACAGCTCTTCCCCTTCTTCTGCATCACCCTTTTAACACTTAACCCTCATTGTCTGTTCTCCACACTGCACTCCTGTTTCTTTTTTAAAAAAATTCACCAGCAAGTTTGCAAACATGGCCTACCAAGAAGGTACTTTCCTTCTCTTCTTCACCCACACTCTTAGTTCTCCAGAGCTCCAGAAGGTAAGCAAGGGATTGTGAGGAGTGGAAAGGGGGGGGGGGGCAAAGCAGTAAAATTCTCATGTTTGAATCATGGTGGTACATGGCTTTTCTGTTGTAACTTTGAACAGTTACTAAATGATCCATCATACCTCGAGGATTACTTGTATGTACCTTACACTGCCAATTTTTGTAAGCTGACAGCAAAACCTCTCATTGTGGAGCCTCGGGATCAGCTAAAATTGTGGATTGCAACATGCTCTGAAACATATATGCTGTTTCATCAGCTGCTGGGTGGCATTCTCTTCCATCTATTTTAAAAAGAATATAATGGCTTGCAGCTTCCTAAAAATTTTATTTTTAGCAATCTATTGCAATATACAGGCAAGAGGTTATTTTAGAGGTGGTTTTTTTTGAAAACTTTTAAATGTTTTGTGAAACTAATTTAAAATTTATGAAGTAATTAGAAAGAGTAATCACCAAACCAGTAGTAATGCTGGTTGAATCCCATTCCTGGGGACCGGTGAAAGTAGACTAAGTTGAAATGGCACTATATTAACTATATATGTTCTTAGGTATTTTTATTAATTTTTACTCGATCTTTGCTGAATAGTAAGGAGAGCTGATGCACTTACAGAATATTGGGTGATGTATGGAATGATGAACTATTTTGGTTTTATCTTAAAAGAAAGATGAATTGTTAATGTTGAACATACTTATTGGAGATGAAGGGAAACATTTCTTTCATATACAATACAAACATAGGTATGGGGTGTTTCTGGGATTTCTAAATATTGTTTTTCTTTTTAATGTATTTTGTATTACATTAGTGTATGTGTTTTATCTGTTTAAGATAATCTTTAATAGAAATGTTTAAAAAAATATAGAGGGGTCTGTTCTTTAAAAACATATCAATCTGCATTACAGGTATGGTATCAGACATGAATCCAGCTTGGATGCAAATTGTTAACTAGGAAATTCTGATGCTATCCAAGGGATTTTTCAACTAGGAACCAGATTAAGATTTTGCTGTTGATTGGACAGTCTGGGGAATTTCCCAGCTCTATGGTGAGCAAGGCTTTAAGGAGAGGTGACCACCTTAACCAGCTTCACTGCAAGTATCTTCTTTGTCATCGCCCCCCCCCCCCCCCAAAAAAAAAAAACTTTATTTCCCTAATGAATGGAAACCTGAGCAAAGTGGGGACTTACCCAGGGCAATAATATTCCTAAAAGCCTCCAATGTGACTTCTGCGCACAGGGCTCTCTGGTCAGAATCCAGTAGCGCCCACTCCTCTTCTGTGAAGTCCACAGTGACCGCCTCAAAGGGATCAGACCACTAGAATGAGAATGTTGTATAGAAGATTGTCCCAGAAAAGAAGTTTTCCCTCTTACTACAAAAAACAGAACTTTACATGAAACCAAATGGGCATTTTCTTATAGGGCAAATTTATGTCTGGATGTCCACATGGTCTTGACTGTGAAGCCGCCAGTTTCCCTTGCCCTAATAGCTGGTGTTCTTAAGTGCACAAAATATGACTCCATCCAAATTGCCGACTAGCAACACAGCACCATTTAGGTTACTTCCTGCTTGTTTGGAATTACTCAACAAGTGGGATTTGGGGAATAGAATCCAGAGGCTCACCTGACTTGGGGAAGAAATTCTACATTCTTTGTAAACTAGGAATTTCTTCCATGGTTTATTTCAAAAGGGCCTGGAAATCTAAAGACACCTGAAGAACACTGATGCAACCGTTTAGTGATGATCTTAGGCTTTTTCATGAGAAATCTGTCCTCATTTGGCGGGGAGGGGAGGGAGGAGAGACACTGTTTAACTACACACAGACTCAGCATTTGCCTATACTGCAGAAGAAGAGCCCAGGAAGGGAGCTTGAACTGTGCTACTCTCAGAAGAAACCTACAATTACCTGCTGAAATGGCTCAAGTTGGGACCTTCCGAAAAGCAACTCTTGGGAAGGACTGCATTGATTTCCTCTTTCCTGTAGCTCTGCTGAGATCTCTCCTGTGAACAGCTCCTGTATCTGAAAGAGAAGCCTAGTTTATGATCCATGCTCATAGGACTGTAATTATGTTAGTTTGCTTGCCTTACCTTTGCAATTCCCCAAGTCAAAGTGAGAGAACTCAGGGATTCAGATTTGAAAGTGGCTGCTACTTTTGAGTAAATGCCTGCCATTTTTGTGAGATGTTTCATTGCCTATCTTTATTTCCTTTTATTCTGATCAGGAATGTTCAGATCTTTACTTGTCTCTTTCTCTTAATAGCTTTGTTATCCTCTTTTGTGGATGTACCTATGCCTGTTTTATCTCTTCCTCAGGTCTTTCCTTTACATTTAGAAAGCTTTACCTCTTAAGCGCATGGCATGGATTTTCTCTTCCTTTTCTTTTGGCTTCCCTATGTCTCTTGTAGTGGGAAGACTCTCAACCAGGCAATTCAAGGAAAGAGCTTGGGATAAAGATTGAGATGGTTTTTGTGAGGAAGATGCACACCAGTCTCATTGTGGTAACTGAGATACCTTTTAGAATTAGATGGTTGGCCAGTCTGATTTTTCACCTGTTCTCCGAGTTATTCCCACAGACACTTACACAATACCAATATATGGTCTCTTGATGTAGGTTCCCAGGGAGAGTTTGTAAAGAAGGGAAGCAGGAATGGGGACTTCAAAATAAGATTTGCTATGTCATAAATGGAACCAATTGTTTGAAGAATGTCAGCTGAAATGGAACAAATTCTCAATTCATTAAAGGAAAGGAGAGGATGGAGAAGGGATTCTGGCCTCCTCCCTCAAACTCTCTTATAGTCCTGGGATGTTGCTCTTTCCTTCCATAAAATTACCCCCAAGAGCAAAAATAAGCATTTCCCTCAAGAACAAATACATTGACAAAATATTAGGAGTTTCAGAAAAGTCTGGCAGACGGTTTCTTTATGCTTGATTTCTTAGAGACACTTATCCTCGCATGGACACCCAGGTTGAAACTACCTCACCTGCTATCCCTTTCCAGGCTCCTGGGAGGCTGTGGGGCTGAGCAGGTAGCCTTTGGTGAGGGGAATCCTGACTTTAGGAAACATTTATTAGCCCTTCCAGGTAGACCAGACAAGCCCCACAATGCATATTAGCTCTATCTTTATTACAAGACCACATTAATAAAATCTTTTTTGATCCTCTCCTTGTACTCGCCGGAAAAGTAGGGAGGTTTTTAAATGACATGTTCTCCTCACCCGCCCAGATGGGGGAATTGAGATATCTTTTGCATTATGGCTGTCCAGTCCACGACAAAGCATGAGGGAAAACAGAACATGTGAATAAGGTCCCACAATGTTATTCCCACATACTATTTACTATTTATATCTCAACACGTGTTTGGATGTCTTCTCTCTGCGATTATGTGCAAGGAAGAGAAACGAGGCGTAGAAGAGGAT